CACCTGGATGCTTCATGTTTTCTTAGAGACATTGAAGAAAATCCTGACTTTTTTTAAAATTTTTTTTTTCCCCTCTCCACTAACACCAAGTGCAGGTGTTATATTGCTGCTGCACTTTTCTCAACAAGACGATACTGCTGGTTCAGTCATATAGGAGAAGTCAATACCCATGTGTGTTAAATGAAAAAGAATAGCATCATGTGATACCATTCTACTGAGATCTGGGAATCAATACTTTAAATTTTGCTGATTGTTTATTTGGTTTTTTAATTAGCAAACTTTGCCTTCACAGAAATAACTTGGCCTAGATAAAAGAAGCTGTAGAATCAGAGGCTATACTACCCTAAATGCTTCTATAGCACAGGTTTTGTCCACAATACATTCCCTCAAGTCCTGGCACGCAATTCCTTGATAAAAGATATGTTGCATATCACCTTGCTACAGTTACAGCACACCCAAGGCAAGGTTTGTGTGGATAGGAGAACCTACACACACACAAAAATTTTAAGTGCCTCACAACAAAGAGGGCACCTATGATTATGCAAGAAATTGGCGTTATTTCCGTCCTTGGCAAACGACGAGAACATACAAAGCACAAAGGAAGGCACAGGGATGTCCTACAAATGGGCTACTTCAACATCATTTATTTTTTTTCATCTTTGACCCTCTGAACTGCAGACATTAGTGAAATGCAACAAGTGGGACCTTCAAAAAGTGGATGCCTATCACCAGGTATACATCATCAACAGCAAAACACAACCATCAGCGAGCATTTTGTTCAATAAAGCACTTGACATAAACACGAACCCCCTCGAGCCCAAGGCTTTAAAAACACTCCACTCTTGATGAATGCTCTCCAAACTCAGGGAGAGTAAAGATTATTTACAGAGGCAGCATGAGCACGGCATGTATACAGCAATAAACGTGAAGGCTGCTAATTTTTCTGTTTTCATGATAGGTAGATATTCAGCAAAGAGCAAAAAGACAAGAGTGAGGGAAAATGACGTACCTTACCAAACCTGAATGTTGGACACAACTCGTTTCAGAGCAACATTGGTGTGAAGGTAAGTTCCTCAGGCGACCACCAACCGCAATTCCCGTCTGAGCTCCCCAGAGGCTCCAGCTCCCCCTTGTCCGTGTCCCTGAGGAAGATGCAGTGTCCTCCAGGACTTCAGAGCCTCAGCTGCAAAAGACACTGTTGAGAAAAAGGAAAGAGAAGAAGGTGAGGCATTAAATTCTGGGGTCAGTTGTTTGGCAGATTCAGAGCAGAACTAAGGCAACATCGGATAAGAATGAAATGTCAAGGCAGGACAAAGAGTCTGTGACAATCCATCATGTGTGGCACCTTCAGACGGCAATCTTTGAATTTGAGAACTGTGGCGCAAATCTATTCTTGCTGTACAGTACTTTAAGAGTGTCCCTACACCAGGAGATGAATGCCACCCCAGCTGCTTTTTATTCCAGTCCAAAATTGTAACAAAGAAGTAAGTAAAACACTTCTCCATAGGGAATATTTTAATTCCTTGTGGCATTTCTGCAGAATAACAGGACTTTCACATTAAAAGCAGAGACATCACCTCAGTCTTAAAACTTTGCACCGTTAAAATGACTCTCGTTCACGGAATTCAAAGCTCCTAAACAGGCAATCACGTTAGCACCTTACAGCTGACGGGAAGCAGTGACTGTCAGCCCAACACACAGCAACGGGCTCCTAAAGTTCAGCCTCCAAAGCAATTGTCAGATGCAGGTAAACGGCCTGAGATTTTCTGGGAGGCTGGGGGCTCGGCACCATTACGCTTTCTAGCTCCCTATCTCTGCTGGACCTGCTCGGTGTTCCTGAGAGGTCAGACCCTGGCACTGAGCATGGACGTGGGGGCCTCACTGCGGACACCCAGGGGAGAACACAGTGATGGAGATGACCGCCTGGCAGCAATGCTGCCAGCAACCAAAACACTTAGAGAAGCACTGAAAAGTTCAAATGTTCATCACTGTCACTGCATTATTCATCCCTAACTCTTGGCATATGGGAAAACACTTGAAGGATCATCCTTTCCGCACCTGGATAACAAAGCCTGCGAAGCCAAACCAGGCAGAGCAGCACAAAGCAGGTGAGGACAGAGCAAAGAGCAGGATCCGATCTCCCTAGGTTGGAGACATACACATTAGCTGGTTTGTGTCCTTAAACCAGGCTCAGAGATGCTTTTCTGACATTAACTCAACACAGCAGCCACAAATATACTCTAACTTTCCATAGAAATTCAAAAACAGCAAAGGGAAAAGGGAAAAAAAAAAAAGATATACCAACATATTTATTCCTTAGAGGTTTCCTACACAGGAGAAAGCTTGTGGCAGCTCGAAATACCACAAAATCTCATTACATCTTCACAAAAAATCCTGAACCCATGAACAGGTTACAGCTATCTGGAAAACCCATTAGTTTTTGGGCTTGCAAGAAGGAAGATTTCAGTTATCAGCATGTAGAACTGTCCATACTGAAAGTTAGCATCATACTGCTTTTTTTTTATATATATATATTTACCAAAAGTCCACATAGCAAGCACGGTCACACAGATCAGAACAACCAAACATATTCACTTTATTTAGCACTAATTACTTCACCGGACCTTGTATAACTGGTTTATGTTACACACCACACCTAAAAGCTCTACAAGCGGGACCCCTCATGAGATACCCACAAAAAGAATCAGGACAGCAGAACCCAGTTCTGTATTTCTTGGTACTCATTTTCAGACCTGCCTCTCTTGAAGTCAGACATGAGGGACAAAAGTGGACCTTCACAGTGCTGTCCTCTTCCAGGCTAACCGTGAAAAATCAGACTGCCAACTGAAACGGCTGCTGAATGACTTACGGGTATAGAAATGGCTGATGCTGCAGTAGTTTGATCTGCAGGTAGTAGCAAGACCTAATTCTACTGCTTTTAAGGCATTTCTATCTCCAGAGACCACAGTTACAATTACTTTTTCATTTTCGCTCGTAAAACGTAACGCAAAATAGTCGCGAAGAAAATCAGCGCTCCATTTTTGTGCATTAACTAAAGCGCCAGCTGAGCTGAGAAGCAGAATTAACAATAACAGGACTAGATGATCATCATTGCAAGCTGAATGAAGGAGCCCAGTATCTCAGGTTGGAAAAGATCTGTTTGAAAGCTCCTATTTAATACAGCTTGCCAGCGCTCATCGGAAGCAAATCTCTTTGGTAAGAAGTTGGCACGTTGCCTTAACACGCTGCTATGCATGTGCATAGAGTGTCCGTACTGTGAATTCCTGCACTGCTGGGTGGACCATAAATTACAGTACAGGAAGAAGCATGCACTTCCAGCTCTTGGTGAAGACAAAAAAAAAAAAAAAAAAAAAGCTGTCCCCCCTCCTAACCACTACCATTACGGGAATGAGAGGGCAGCAGCAGCGAGCTGGAAAATGTTTCTGTCAAGCCTGATCCGGGCTGAAAGTGTGGAGTAGTAGTAATGCAGCAACGAAGGAAGGTGAGAAGGTGTGGACATGGACGTGGAGAGGAAAACAACTTTGGTCATGGTAAAAGGCAATGACTACGCACCATTCCCTTCTCTCTATACAAGCACTCATTGTGAACATCCCTCACCCCCATGGTGCAACACAACGAAATGAAATCTGCGACCAGGGCTGCTGCAAGCAGCAAGGTGCAGATGCTCCAGCCTGAACACAACGTGCTTCCTCTGTGCTCTGATGGTGTGTATCATAAATACAGAGGCAGTGAGGCAGGCCAGAAGCCATCCCTATTCAGCAATATAGTAATGTAAAAGGCTACTAAAAAATAATGCAAGGAAACCCTCATGAGGCATAATTTGTGTTGGCTCAGAACCTTCCACGTAAAAATAAGAAAAAAAAGGATGTATGCCAGTTCTGTTGCCCAAACCTGCAAGATTTTGCAGAAGAACACCATTCACATTCAGTAAGCCACTACTGACTTGGTGGTCAATGTCCTAGCAGGCAACTGGTTTCTCTCTTACAGTTAAGGAATCTGAAGAGCCCATCACACAGCTCCCGAGATGCTCCTCAGACCTCCTCGACTTTGGGCAGCTCTAGCGAACAGCCGTGCTGGCAGCCGGGACAGCCCAGGCTGGTGGTGGTCTGCCAGAGTCACTGCACAAGCCCAGAGCCCCAGGACTGTCCCATGGCTGCAGAGTGAGACAGACACCAGCACCTGTGATCAAAACCACATGCATTTCAGTCTGCAGCTGCTCTAGGAGCTGACACTGCTGTTATCTGTAACAAAACCAAGTCTGAACTTACAGAAATGCCCCACATACTAAAAAGCTCACAATTTCAGTTAGGTTTGGTTCTAAAATTTTACGATTCTCCCATTCTCCTTTGATAAGACGTGGGGGTAGCTACTGACAAACTATGAATTACTTTTGTTATCCCAGCACTTCAGATTTTTTGCCTTCAATTACTGGAGTCCTGGCTTAAATATTCAGGTGCATTCCTAAATTAACATAGTTAAGTGGTATCAGATCAGTCTTCAGGTCACAAAAGCAGGCATATAGATGTTCTCATTAATCAGAAAAGCAGACAAGACATTTTTCCAGTAAAAAGAGCGTATTTCCCTTGGAGGAACCTCAGCCCTTTACTGATAGAAAGCATGAATTATACAAAATAACTATACACTTTAGATGTAACAAATCAGATTAAATATTAAATTTGAAGATATCACTTCTATCTTGAGATGTTCTCAGACCACAAATCAATGAAGGCTGGGAGACTCTTCTTTAGGCGTCAGCTATTGATTGCTGTCAGGGTGAGGACAGGAGCCGGCTGGACCCTTATCTGACCCAGCACAGTCATCCTTGTATTTGGGTGTCATACAGTTTAAGGTGCAGCTTGGGCCTTGTAGCTAGATATGGCAACATTTGGGAGCATTTGCAACTTTGGATAGGGCAAAAAGAGGCACCTAGAAGCTGAAGGACATATTTGCAAACAAATATTACAGTACAGTAGATATTCAAATTAATATTAGTTTGTCTCATCAAAAATTAATTACGACCTACCTAACTGCAATTGAAGAAATTAGTTGGGGATAGAAATGATTAAATATTTAAAGTCTAGTGACTTAAAAATAATTGAAACCATATCTCCTTGCTGAAATATTACATTTCTTTTATTTTCCCTGCTAGCGTGATCATTAAGATACCAAAACTCTGTACGTACGTGCACGCATGCACACATGTACGACACACTCATGTATATGTAACATGTTCATATATAGCCTCATAACTTGCCTCTTTCCAAAAAAAATTGGGTAAACATGTTTGACTAATGCAGAGGAGCTCAACTGGTAGAGGGAGAAGAAAAGCTGTGAAATAGACAAGGGAAAACATGTTTTTATTGCTAAGTGTTTAACAAGGTCAACCTCCTCTGTAAGCGCAGGAAAAAAGATCCCACAGCAGACTCTGAACACAGCAGGGGATTATACCAATTCATTAGCAGGTATATCTTCTAATTACAGCCTTGGACATTAGTCCCCATACAGCTGAGTAGGCAACAGCTGCCACATTTCGCCGTATCCTCAGGATCGAGCTCACTGTTTTCTACTGAGCTTCAGGACAGCCTGGCTAAATGCAATCCCACAATCCCTTCAGCCAAAAGCAAGGGTGTTCAGTTTTCCCAAAGGATGCTCCTGACTCCTCACATCTCAAATCCAAAGAGGAGTTGGCTTCTACGTTTTACGGGATTTGTTCCTCTGCTTCTGCCGCGTCAAGGAACGGTAGGATCAACAACTCACCCTGTCAGCTCCATCTCTGGTAAAGATCTCACATTAATTTAGTGTAAAGGTGACACTGGTGAAGAGGAGAATAAAATGAGACTTTGAATTCCTCCTTCCAGAAGGCTAATGGTAAAAAATTGGTAGTGATGCAACTGTGGCACCTTTCCAACTATAACACTGAGAGCATTGCCCACGGCTGTGTCCCAGACACACTTTGTCATTCACGATGGCTCAGTACAAAACATAAATAAAACAGATGTTGCCAGCACTACTGGCACTCAGCTGTTTTTAGGCTTTTCTTTTTCCCTTCCCTGCCAACAAAACAAATAGTGAAAAGCAGAACTGCAATCCAAGTGATAATGTCCACGAGTAGGAAATTTA